TAGCGAATAATATCATCTTTTCGAAAATGTTTTTCACACACAACGCTGCGATCACTTGGAATAAAATTTTTCCTTGGAATTTTTTTGATCCATAAATCTCGTTTTACTGTATCTTTTGGAAATTTGAATACTGATACATATTCATCGGTGCCATCGTAATTGGATTTGCATGCTGGAACGCAACATCGTGCAGGCATGATGAAGACAGCTCTACATAGACGTCGATCGTTATTCTTGTTAACAAATAAGTTAACTAGTAATCTCAATTTAAAAACGAACATATCCTTAACAACATTACTCAAATTTAGCAATAAAAAAGACACGAATAATAATAATAAAAAAAAAAAACACAAGCACGCAATCAACGTAATAAGAAGTCTTCGCTTGCAGTGTCCACACAATGCAGTGCGAAGGGTGAAAGTTCAGACGCCTTACGTGACGTCAAATCACGTGATTCTGCAGCTGACCAGGCCATCTAATCTCGAAGGCCACGGTTTTGGTCAGGTACAGCAGCAAAAGGTCCTTAATTTTACTCATTTGACAATTCTGTCTGTTTCTTTTACGACTGAAATTTTGAGAGTGAATTGGCATTTTGGAGGAGTATTTTTTGGCAATGCATTGACAAATGTATTTGTTGAGTTAATATTTGAATTCTTTCCTACTTTTTAATATATATGGTGGATGCTGGAGTTTAGACACAAAGTCTTGCCCAATTAAAATATAAACATTTTGAAATTATTTTATTTTTGTGAATGAAGAATTCATAAAATATTACATCAAAAACAACTTTTCCCTTTTTAAGATATTAGTTCTTTTGTTATGTGGTACTAAACTTGGTGACATATCAACATCTGGTGATTCCAGTTTGTATACAAAATTTTTAGTTGAACATTTGCGAAATTTTGATGATTCTTTTTACATACGTTTTACTCATCTTGGAATGATAAATATCATAGAAATAATGATTATATAAAATTATATTTAAATAAAAACATTAAAATAAATAATTTTATTTTCTCTTGCCATAATTTAAAGTGATATTACTTTCTATTTTTGTAACTTTGGATTTTGATTCTGAAAAGTAAACAATATAATAAATGCAATAAAGCACAGTTTCTGAAGCACTTTTTAGAAAAAAAACACAAAATTACTGCTGTAATTATTTAAAAATTTATTTCATTTGTCTTCTTTTATAATTTTTCACAATAAGAGATTTTTTCCCATGTGATTGCTTCAGAATATTTAAATGTATATCAGTTTTCTCTTGAAAATTTACTTTACTCTTTTTTTTCTGAATTTGTTTTTTCAAAAAAGATCTGGCTCTTTGTTCTTACAGAGTTGGGAGGGATAATTTTTATTTCAGATTTTAGACTTTGCACGTAGGTCTAAAAGGCAGGATTTATAGACCTACAATTTCCAGAAAATATGACAAAATGAAAAGTATCTTTATGGTATTCACAAGCAATGGGCATTTAGGTTAAATAACACACTAAATAAGGAATATTGAAAAAGTCAAATAACAAGAATCAGCATAATATTTGTAAAATTTGCATGACTAGTTTTGACGGTTTAACCATAGAACCATCTCCTTCAGCTGCCTAATTGCAAATGAACTACAGTGAATAAGTGCAATACATGTAGTTTCAATGTTTTAACTACAGAACCATATCCCTCAGCTGCCTAAGTGCAAATGAACTATAATGAATAAGAGCAATGAATGAATCATTTGCACTTAGGTAGCTGAGGAAGATGGTTCTGTAGTTAAACCATCGAAACTAGTCCTTCAAAATTTATGAATATTATGCTGATTCTTGTTGTTTGACTTCTCCATTAGCGATAGATATGTTTTATAGGAAATTCCAGATTGATTTCTTATCTTTTGGCGAATTTTTTGAACAGTGAAAAAAAATTATTTGAATTTTCTCTTTTTGATCCCAGGAGTCTTTTTCTTAATAAGACTTATCTTCCCTTTATTTTATTATCTTTCCACTAGACACAAGCATTGAAGCAATCAAAGGAAAAAAAAAACTGACAATTTATTAAAAGATTCATCATATATGTCTCTGTGCACCACATACCTCAATGCCTGCCCTAAATTTTGTTGCTCAGTGCTTCATTAAATTCTAAAAATTCTGCCACAGTGGCTCTGGCACCAGCCTTGACCTTATATCATTTCATATTTATTCTCAATACTTATATTGTTAAAGAAATAAAATGAAGAGTTTTTTTTTGTACTATTCTATTCTAAATACAAGCAGTTTTTTAGAATAACAGAAATGTTTAATTAAATTGGAAAATTCGAAAATGAAGAGGCAATTCATTGAAAAAAAAAACTGATTTTTAAAGAGAAAGGAAATTATTTTTCAAAGGTACATTGTTGAAACATTAACAGATTAGGAGATAAAGCAGAGACTAGTGGGAATATTTATTTGTTTATCAAAACAAATAAAGATGCATAAATATTTTGTTGTTTGTTGTTGCTACAAAACATAATTGTTTTACAGTTTTAAATGCATAGTTACACTAATATCATTTTCGAATCAATATTATAAATTTCAACTGCTGTAAAGTATTCTTAGCACTTTTTTAATGGATATATATTTCAAAATTAAATATATATATATAAAACCATGTAAATCTATTATGACTAAGGGTATCTAACTACATAATTTAACTGTTTGTAACTAACTGCTCACCCTTAGAAGTTATCTCTACATATTAACACTCCGTTGGGTGCATTTGATGTGCTAGGTACACCTCGAGCACTTTTGTTTGCTTTACCTCCTTGAAACATCATCGCTCCTTCTCCATCCAGTTAGCTTCCCCTATTCTAGTGCCGCTGTCAGTTGTAAGGTCAGTCAATGAATATATTTCTTCATTTCCACTTGACAGATGAAATGATCTATTTTTAATTTGTGATTTTTAATTTAATATGTGATTTTTTAATACTGTATCACATTTTTTTTTTGGTTAGTGACAATTTCGTATATTAAAATATTTATGATTATCTACAAACCTGAGTATGTTTTTGGGCTCTGGCTTTTCAAGCACATTGCACCTGATCATGTCATGAATTGTAAAATGTTTTAATAATTTAAAATATTGCTTATTACAAAATTTGACAAAGGCATTTTCATAACAACATTATAAATATTTATTTGATTCAGGCTTCAAAATGTAAAATGTAAAGGAAAAAAAAAAAAAAAAAAAAAAAAAAAGATGTTTGATTTATTTGAGAAATCCTAATACTTGAAGAAATTCGTTGTTTATTGGAGGCATTAGATGAAGAAGATGATTTTGATGTCGATAGCTATATTCATTCTGAAGATGGTGTAGAGGAACGTGAAGATAGATCACAGGCAGAACAAGAGGGAAGCGAAGACAATGACATTGAAAAAAATACTAACTTGAATAAAAAGTTCATTAAACTTAAATAAAAGTTATTTGTGACAAAGCTAGACCACAACACTCCAGTAATTTTGGCTTCAGTAGTAATGGTAATGTTTTGGTGTCCTATGTGCCAAGAAAAAAAACAAAAATGTCCTTCTTGTATCATCATTGCATTATGATCAAGCTATTGGTTTTTCTACTGTGAAAAACAGAAACCAGAAATAATCAGTTTTTACAATGAAACCAAGTTAAGAGTAGCTATTATAGATATAATATGCAGTTCATAAAATGTGTCTTGGAATGTAAAATGGGGGTCTATGGTAATCTTTTTTACAATGTTAAACATTGCTTCAATAAATTCTTAGGTCATATATGTAGGTAATGGGTATACAACACTTAAACGATAGAACAACTTCTTTCATAAAACAACTGTCTACTGAACTTGTGCTTTGACAATTTGATCAACAAAGTCTTAAGTCCAGTACATTTACAACAAAAATTAAACAGATATGCTTCCAATCAAGAACAAAAACCTCAAAATTACGATGATCCCCAGATACCTCCAAAAAGACTCAAATGTGAAACATGCTATTTGGTGACTCTTAAGTGAAGATTAAGCTAATATAAGTGCAAGACGTGTCATATGGCAACCTGCCTCTCATATGCTGTTTTTATGTATCCTCCATGCTATAAGAGAGAAGCAGAAGGACAGATATTTTTACAACACAAAAGTGTAAAAATTAACATAAAACTTTATTTCTTACTGCTATTGAGACTTAAAATAATACAAAACAACTATCATCTATGGTGCTTCAGTGGCTTGTTGGAACCTTTATATTAAATAGTATGCATTAACTAGGTTACAGCTCTAGCAAATCTACACAAAACTACAAAGCTAAGTGGGTCAGACGAAGTGTAGCTAACTTTCAACACTTAACCAACCATACCAACAATAGATGTTCATGTCTGTTCTGATCAGCAATTCTCTGTCTCTAACCAATCAGCTGTAATGGCAACAGCCAGACTTCTGTTATGAGTCATGCTGACTATTATTTTACTTCACAATTTAACTTATGCCACTTGACATAAAATTTGCATATAACCTCTGGACTGTGTGAGTACTCTCTGGATTGTATGAAATGATGCATAAAGGAAAGACTCAGTATAAGCTAATAGTTAGTAAAAACCTACTAATCTTTTTTAAAATATGGAGGAGTATTATAAGTGTAAAATATAAATGTTTCAAGAATTTTTATATTAAGATTTTTGAATTTGTTTTATAATTATTAGATTATGTTTAATAATAAGGCATCCTCCTTACAGATTTATTTTATTCTTACAAATTTCAGAAGTGAAATATGGATGTAGATAATTGCTTGAATTTATTCAGTTCCTATATGCTTCATAGGTCCTTAATTATTTCATTGGCGCACCTTAAATGTCCTTAAAAGTACTTAATTTCCATGTACATAAGTGTGTATAAACCCTATTAGTATCTTTTAAATTATGTTTTAAACAGGTAATGTTATTTTTTAATAAACAACTGTGTTATACTCTAATATCATTATAAGTTTAACAATTAATTTATGTGCATTTTCCTCTTTCTGCAGCTCTAGCAGATATCATGAAGAAGCTGTTAATCAAGTACGATAATTTATTTGAAACTTCTTTTCCTTATACAATGGGATGGCATGGTATGCTTTGCTTTTCACTTATAAGGCATTATATATATATATATATATATATATGCGCAAATAATTTGAACAAAAGCTAGTCACTAGGTTCTCCTATTTCTAGCATTAATTTTCTTTTCTTTTTTTTCTTTCCCCCTCATGTTATTAAGGAAATGTGTGTTAAATGGAAATGTTATGTTAAAATATCTACATTAATGCTGACTTTATTACTTATACTTGAAAAGGAATTTAATTAGTTCATAAGCAATACATATTCTATTCATTTCTACAAATAATATTGCATTAATAAATTTCATTTTTGCTGACAATCATGAATATTAAATAACTTGATTTTAAATTATATTAGCTATTGCTTTTTGAGGTGTATTGGAATAGCAGTGAAAAAATTGTTTTGAAAATGAATATTAAAAGGTTACCAATATAAAAGTTATTTGAATGTAAAAAAAAAAAAAATTGACAACATTAGATGCACAAATGCTTTCCAAAGCTGAAATAAGTTCCTGACTTTTTGGTGGGGGTGCAGACAATCAGAAAGTACCCAAATTTGTTCACTGGAACTCAGTTTTAGCAATAAATAATTAGGGTTTACTACTGCAAAGAACCTGTGGAGGACATTGCATTTTTTTATTGCCAAACTCGCTAATGGCAATGATTTTAGTGATATATGGTTAAGTTTTGAAATAAAATGTCATAAAGGCCTATGTAAGTTAAATTTGGCATGTTAAACATGATAATTAATACAATTAAATTCAGGTTAGCCGAAAAATGTGATATGCATATTTAAGTAAAAATTAGCATAAAAAAGTTAATATTATTATTGAAATAGATTTCTGATTAATTTTGTTATTATAAAAGAATTAAAAGAAACTTGTATATTCACATCTAGCACTTCTTTTTCAGATTTTTATGGCCCTGAAAAAGGTGCCTCCTTTTTCAAAAACTTGTGTTATTAAGGAAATTATCAGTGATGTAAGGGATATAATCTTTAATTATGTTTAAAATTTCGGTTGTGTTACTGATATGTTTAACTTCATGTCAGAAACGGTATTTGAGTAGGTGATCAGCTAGTTTTTCCTTGTGAAAAACTACTTTTTTTGTAATTTTGCCTTCAGGGGCTGCCTTGTTAGATTCTGTGGCCTGGGTATGTGTACCATTTGCCAGATTAACAAAATTTGTGATTAATAACGTGATGTGCATAATACTCATCATTGCCTGAGGTTGATGTTGATGTATTTAATTATGGCAAAGCACACTAGGGCTATCTGCCTAAGGGGAGGGATGCCTTTCGTGGAGGACTTTCTAAGGGAAACTGGCTCGTATACACGTTACACATGGGGAAAACCACGAAAACACCCATGCAGCCAGCCCGTTCGCGGGATTCGAACCTCAGACCGAACTACCAGTGTTCAGCGACTTTACCGCTCGGCCGCTGGTGGGCCTCATTGCCTGAGGATGAGTATGTTTGACATTCATCAGTCATAATACTTGTTCCCTGTGCCACGTGCTTGCAATATTAGAATCTCTGTGATGTTGTGTGCTGTGAACATGTTTTCAGTAAAGGCAAAGTTCCTGCTGAGACATTCCACTGCAAACAAAAAAATTATTGTATTTATTCATTTTTAAAATTCAGAAGAAATATTTCAAAATCAGATAAAATAACAATAAATAAGTTAAGAATAAATTAATGTGCCAAGACAAATGGTGAGTGTGATTCTATGATATGCAGAACTTTGAACAGCAATGAAAGTAACCAATTGGAACGTACGAGAAATGGTTGCTACCTCTGAGCAAATGACTCTGTTGGGTTACCAGCTTTGAACCATTATCATCATTTTAGGCAGTGTTTACATTTATCATGTTCTGTGCAATAGTGTTTCCTTTAACTATTTTACTTACTTTCAGGTCTGTTTAAAGTTATTGAAATTTTTTAATTTCTGTAGTCTACAGCATGTATTTGTAAGTTTGAATGCAAACATATAGCTCAGAGTTACTTTTAATTTAATGTAAGCCATCCTCGAGAAGAAAGAGAAAATTCTGTATATTAATAAATTAACAGTTTGCCAAAACGCATATCGACAAACGCAAGTCAAAATAACAAGAATATTTTTACATATGCTGTTTGCATGAAGTGCGCAGTAATATTTGTGCCAGTAAAATCTCTGCGTAAAATTGAAAAAAAAAAAGAAAAAAAAAAAAAAAAAAAAAAAAAACTGAAAGGTTCCAGATTTTATATTATGCTTTTTATAATGTTTTATGTGTTCCCTTTATTTATTAAATATCATATTCTTTGCACTTAAACCATAAAATTCAATTCAATAGAAAAATCACAAAATAATTTTAAAAGAGAATATCTTTAGAATTTCCGATGCACAGTTTTTCGCGCTAATGATAAAAACGTTTTTTTTATTTTTTCCCCCTGTACAGTGTAGCCATTGCTCGGTCTGAAATTGTTGAGTTTGTTAATCAAAAATTCGTTAAAGTTTTACAAAATATGAAGTAGATAATAAAACAAACTCCAAATTCGGGCTTCCAGATGCCCATATTCGAGTGGAGGACTACATTATTCAAAATTTGATGTTTTAGGTACCAATTTTTTTTCACAGTGTAAGAAACATACATACGTACATTCATGCAGATTCTGCATTATTTAATTTCTTTAATTATATGCAGGGCTCTAATATTTGGTGGCAACAATTTGAAAAGTGAAACGCTGTTATAGTGAATCAACACAAAATACCAGAATGAAATTAATAGCCCTTCTCTGCGAATTGCTCCTTTTAGCTAATAATCTTAATTTGTAAGTCCCAGACCATACAAAACTTTTATGTTTCTAAACTTTAATGCACAGGGATTTGTATTATTTGAAAACAAGTTGTTGGAAAAAATTTTAAAATGAGCAAATGAATAATAATAATTTTATAAACAATTCAAAAATAGTCTCATTAGCAGTGAGATGTAGTTTTTTCACAGTACAAAAATTAAATGAACAAACAGAATTTCAGTTGAGTGTACTCTTTAACCAATATATATATATATATATATTATAAACATGCTAATATATTTTAATTTGAAATAATAGTAGTCAAGGTATAAAATTGGGCACTCTTTCACTATCTAATCAAACATTCTGATTTATTCTTATATTTTAACCATTCAGAAAGCTGTAAGAAAACACAAACATACCCAAATTTAAGGTTCAGACTTCCACATAGGTCAAAAAAAAAAAAAAAAAAAAAAAAATCAGCAAATTGGACTGCAGAAGTTATACTGTGACATGCTTAAAAAGATGTCGCCAATGAAGAATTCATATAAAATAACTGCATGCAATGCAACCATAAATATATTGACAGAATTTAAATTTTCAAGCTGAAAAAAAATATTCAATTTACAGTGGCTCCCAAATGTGTTCATACACTTATGATTTTCATTGAAATAGGGCTCTATCCATTAATTAAAAGTAAACTTTCTGAATGAGATTTTAATAATAAGATCTATAATCTATTCGTAACAAAACTGCATGAAATATTTTTAAAATATAGCAAAACTTTATTTTTAAGAAATTAATAATCAAAAAATGACAAACATTTTATCTCGCAAAAGTCTTCGTACACTGAAATATTTTGGATAAAATCGAAATTAGGATTATTTGCCACTTTTTTAGTTTTTGCATTGTGGTGGCATTTAAAAATCGTTTGCTTTAATTTTTATTGTTTACTTCATAATATTCTTTATTTGAAAAAATGGGTCGCAGTCGTAAAGAAATTACAAACAGCATTCGAAAATGATAACTTTTTACCATAGTAGTGGTAAATCAATAGAAATATTGCCCAAATAGTTAATTATCCATTTTACAGTGCAGTAGTGATTAAAACGCTTTAAAGAAGAAATCTGATTGAGAACAAAGTAAGAAGTCGACCGAGAAAGTTAACTAAGGTGATGAGAGATTTATTAGAAAATTTGTGAAAACCCACGTTTGAATGCTGTTACGTTTTTGCAGATTTAATGCAAAGTTTTCTACTTCAGTTTCACTGAAAATGTTCGAGAGTCTTAGAGAAGCTGAATTATGGGCGTTTGCCGTAAAAAATTTTGTTTGTGAGGAAAAAACAGAAAGCTTAGGCTTTCATCGCAAAATCAATGAAAATACCCGGAAGGTACTAAATGACGCAAGAAATTAACATTTTGGTTCTGATGGTCGAATACTGCATGGGAAGAAAAATGAGGAACTTCTTTAAGAACTTAGTTGGAACAGTAAGCCTGGCGGTGGAGGTTTTTGTGTGGGAGGTGCATGGCAGCATCAGGATTAGGTAATTGATTTATTGATAGCATAATGAATCATTCTCTTTACTTAAATTTTAAGAGACAATTTTAAAATTATCAGCCCAAAATTGGAATTGGAAAAACTTTTTTTAATCAGATAAGATCTATAGCATATGGCTCTCAACGTTCGCCTGTGGTTGTCTCTAAATTGTCTACAGGTTTTGAACACACCCTAGTCGCCAGATTTAAACCTCATAACACATCTGGAAAGAACTGGGGGTTAAATTATGAAAACACAACATCAAAATGAAAAGCGAACTCAAAACAGTCATGATGAACATTAATACAGAAAGTACACACACACACACACACAAAAAAAAAAAAATGTAAAATCTATTTCCAGATGCTTAAAAACTAATGCTAAAGGATATCCTACTAATTATTAATTTCCTACTCATTATTAATACTAAATATTAATTTCACAAAAAATTAAAATATTTACTAATATGTCAAGCTTGTTTTGAAGTGTACGAAGACTTTTGTGAGATAAAATGTTTGTCATTTTTTTATTATTAATTTCTTAAAAGTAAAGTTTCGCTATATTTTGAAAATATTTCATATAACTTTGTTACGAATAGATTATAGATTTTATTATTAAAATCTCATTTAGAAAGTTTACTTTTAATTAACAGATAGAGCCCTATTTCAATGAAAATCGTAAGTGTATGAACACTTTTGAGAGCTACTGTATGTTTTTCAGAACCTTTAACTTGGTGTGCCAATATTATGATCATTCAGAAAGATTTAGAAACACAAATACAAGTACAGTCAAAAGTCGTTAATCCGGACATCTATAATCCGGACCTCAAAGCTACAAACTTTCTGCGCATGCATAAACGCATTAATGCATTTTACATTTACACATGCGCATAATACCTTTACATGTGCGCGTTTAATGTATAACAGACGGTATAAGCTAAGCTAAAATTATCTAATTATCTATTTCAGTTAATGTGGCTGATTGTGTTGTTCCTTAATCTTCGAATTGGATCCGGCTTTTTGCAGACTGTTAGAGCAATTTTATAAAAGTGAGCTTGAACTTCTGATTATGTCAAAAAGAATTTCCGATTCTGGAGCTGCCAGAGGATCTCGAAAGCGAAAGCATGTTTCGATGTCCATCAAACAAAAAGTGGAATTGCTGCAAAAAACGTCGAAAACGTCACAAGACGGAACGTCGCGGCGCGCAATGAACTAGAAGTTGATCTGTCAGCACTATCCTTATCTTCAGGGCAGATGTTTTTATTCTATTTGGCTTTTAATTCTTTACTCTAAATGTAGTATTTCATCTCGATGTACTCCATCTTTGATATGATTTTAAATCAAAGTCTTCGTCATTATAAATATCATGAATACACATCAAATAGTTTTCTGGTTGCAATTTTCTAATTTCGTCTATGCGTAATGTATGCTTTACGCATGCGCGTGTTGAAAGAAATGTTTAATAAAGTAAACAAATAAATATTAAGCTTTTTTTTTGTAAATTTTGATACCCTTTAGATCATAATTGCTCTTTATTTCATAAATTATGGTTTCATATTTTTAATTTTATAATTTCTGCCTTCCATCTTACCAGATTTAAATTGATGATCTGTAATCCGGAAAAACTGATAACCGATAATCCGGAATTGCCAAAGTCCCGACAAGTGCAGATTAAAGACCTTTGACTGTATACCTAAGTTCAAATTTCAAAGTTCAAATTTCAAATTTCAAACTTCATTGTCAAAATATGAATTCAGAAGTAATGCTGCAGCCACATACTGACATGAGACTGTTCACAGCCACCATTTCACCCTTGCCGCTTTGTCATCAAGACGTAATTTTATTTATGTGCCTGTACTATATTATATTAAATTTTAGTTTAATAATTTTGTTTGCTATAGTATACTTCTGGCAGTCTTAAATTAAATTTAAAAAAAAAAAATTGGGTCACAATGGGGATTACTATTATAATCCTCAATTTTATTGGGGATTACTATAATAATCCTCAATTCACATTAAAGGCAAGGATGGTAGCTTCCCTGGCCTTTTTACCTATTTAATATTTGTATGAGAGTTTTGATTTTCTTGCTGAAAATTTACCTGCAGAACTGCAACTAGCTCTCAGCTGGTTTGAAGATAATTATGTTGGATACTTGAACATGTGAGACAATGGTAGGTGCTCAATATTGCCTCACCTTCCAGGAAATGGAACATATGTCAGAGACTGAGCTCATTAAATGACCACCATTGAATGAGCAACCATGCAGAGGCTGCCCACAGAAGATTACAGTTGAAATTAGGAATAGATTATCCACCCATTCGGAAATTCACTGAGGGTATTAAAAGAGTTCAAAGAGGAAGAGATGCATGTTATGAAAAACTTATGGTTGCTAATCATCCTAAAAATTGAAAAAGTATAGGCTAGCTGATAAAAGAGATTTCTCATTAATTAAACTGTTTTAGAAATGATAATATAACAGTATGTTTCAGAGGTTTAGCCCATAATTATGAAATGCGATGATTTTGTTGTATTTTACATTGACATAATTTTCTAACTAATTCTGCCTAATTTTTTTATATCCCATATTTTTAAACAAGTAATCATATAAGCAACTTTTATTATGTATTTTATTTTTACTTGCCAGTGCAATGGCCCTTGGCATATCATCTGCTGACGGATTGTCCTGTTGGCAAAACAGCAACAGCTGAAAGTCCTAGACCTTGACAAAATGCTGCCAAGCAAGAATTCAAATAAAATAAATGCATGTAATGCATGTATAAATAAAAAAATAAATTCTAAATGTTTTTCTCTAAAAAGAATGCCTAATTCCATTCCAGGCATACAAACGTACAATTTTAATTTTGTCAAATTAGGTTTTGTAAGCTCTGTTAAATTATTATCATCATAGAGTAATTCTTTTTGTGTATGTATTACTGCCCAGAGAGCAATTTTTGAGGTTTTTCCATTATTTTTATGTAACTTTTTTGTGCAGATGTGCTAGTGTGAAGCACTCTTAGTTCCTGGCTGGCATGCATGCATGACAGAGTGCTTTCTGATTCTCCCCCCCCCATCGCTCATTCATGTCAGAATTTTGGAGCATTTTAGAAACTAATATTTTTGGCACAGGATTGCATTATGCATTTATAAGATTTGAGATGCCTGTAGATTTTACCTTCTACGTTTTATCTTCTGCTCAAAACGAGACAAAGATGACTCAATTTTGATTATATAAACATAAGGCAAAAGGCATATTCTTGAGACTCTCAGGCTTCCTAGTGGCTTTTAAATGTGCACATAGTGTTTATTGATAATTGTTATTTTTTTATTGTTGAGCGTTTGAGTTTGTAGTCCATTTTCTGTTTCTAATCAATAATTGTACCTCGTGTATGTGAAATATTTCTGTTTTGAGTGTTACAATGTTGAAGGATTGAAAATCTTTAACGAATTGCGTGAATCTAAATTACATTTATATCTAACTGTAGCATTTATACGGAAAAAGAAACAGTGTTAACCCTTTGCGGCGCAGTGTGTCCGATCTGGACACACCTAAAAATTTCTTTCTGTATGCACAGAAAAATTGAATGAAAAAGGATTTATAGATTCCTCTGAACCTTCTTTATTTATAGTAAATCGCAGCTAAACACAAACCATTCCATATATTTTAGCCGTTTTTAGTTTTTTTAAGACCCTCATTTTTCAAAGAAATTTCTAAATTTTTTTTAGGTATAAAGAAATTGTTTGAACGAAAATTCTATGTTATTTTTTGCCTGTATGCTAATCTCCTTATTCTATATTAGTTTTACCTTGAAATCTTGCCTAAAATCAAACGGCGAACCCTAAGTATGCCCAGACCGGGCTCACCGATAATCTAGGACAACTGAGAACCTGTATTTGTTTCTCCGATTCTCATCGGTCAGTTCATTGACAACAATGCTCATTTCAGCAATGCTCTTTTCGTGCCACTTTTCAATTCAATCAGTGTGCCACTTTGGGCACACCCACAGAATTAAAACGATAAGTGCTAGCTTTACAAAATTTTACTTGTGTACTCCTCTAGGCCTAATAAGACTGCCTACCTTTTTTTTTTTTTTTTTTTAATCAAAACTTCGACTTTAAAAGGTAGCGTGTTGGAAAGGGTTAAAAAATCTTCACCATTATATGGGGAAAGAGTTGTTAAATCTGTACTTGAAGAATGTTCTGCTCAAGGGTACCATTTATATATATTGATAGGTTTTTCATGTCTGCATCATTGCAGATGAACTCTTTAGACTTGGAATAAATACTCATAGGACTGTAATGAGGAGAAGGAAAGGAATGATTCAAAATTTTCCAATTGAACAAAAATTAATGTGGAAAAAACGAACTTAACTGTATGAAGTATGTAAATAAAGAATATATAAAACATATACCAGATATATACTTTATAGGGGAAAAAACTCAGAAGTATGTAATCCAGAATGTAATTTCAATATTATTAGCAATTCATCTCTTCCATAATTTCGTGGATTTGGGCTTAGCAGGGAAAAAATGAAAAAGAAAAAAACCTACAGCCTTGGAGAGATGCTCATAAAAAAATCAGCTGGTCACATTGGTACATGTGGTGTTTTGTCCAAAAAGGGTTAATGTATCATCATCATGTCTCTCTCTATCTATCTATATATATATATGTATGTATAATTTTTTCCCGTATAGCCTGACTATAAAAAAATATTTAAAATTTTGTTTAGCTGGTGTTATTTTATATTCATAATTTGTCCTCCATAGGAATTTTTCTTATATTTTATGGCAATTACTGTCAGTTTCCCCCTCAAGAGTTAATATTTTCAATCTTATACATGCTTGCTGTCAAATTATTAACCTTTTCTGATCATCTTAACATACTTTTTGACAGTTTATTAATGTTTTACGAACTGAATTTTTATTTTGAAAAGCACTCTGTGTTCATTCTGCAGTCATTTTTGGTTTTTTTGAAATAGGCTAAGTATTTATTTATGTGATTTTTAGCCAAGCTATGAATATCTTTTTTACATTCGTAGCTTGTCGGGGCTGGGCAGTTAATGTAAAATTTAATATAAAGTTTTCTAAGCTTTTAAGAAATGTTAGGCCTTACAAAATAATACAGTGGTTAGCTCAAAAATAGACCATGGGTTTTACTTTCTTAAAGCATCAAACCTTCTAATGACGACATGAAAAATGTAAAATTACATCTTTAAGATTTTTTATATTTGTATAACACTTTCCTCTGTTTTTTGCAGTAACTATTTTCACTGCTTTGTTCATTTTAATTTTTTGTGGAATATGAATTTAAAATTTACTTTTTTTTATTATTACGTAGATAAATATATTCTGAATATAAAATATTTAACACGAGCTCCTACAGGAGACACGAGTGGAGTTGATTATAGTTATTGGCAACTTCATGCTTCTTATTATCCACCATTGCTGCGCTCAGCTACAATTAAAAAATTTTTTGTTGCGTATGAAATGTTAGCCCAACATCAGCGAGATCTCACTCCTGAACAGGTATGTTATAAATAACTTTTTTTGGGTTTAAATTTTTATCACATCCAACTCCAAATTTCAAAGATCCACTTAGCTTTAAGGAAAAAAAAAAAAAAAAAAAAACATCTATTGTCAGATATAAGAGCAGAAAATATATAACCATGTACTGACAAGATGTTGCCTAACAGGAATTCAAATAAAATAAATGCATGCCATGTATGTATAAATAAAAAAATAAAATCAAAATCTAAGCAACATTTACCTGACTGTTTAATTATTTCTGCAAATTTTATTGGTTACATGATTAAAAAAATTGAAAAGATTAATACATGAAAGTTAACTTCTCATTGTTTTTGTATTAATAACTTAAATGAGACATTAAGAGAAAATAAAGATACTTTAAAAGAGAAGAATCACTGTTGAATATTTAATAAAGAAGAAAATGTTCCACTAATAAGACAGCTTGCTAGTAAAGCATTTTTTGAGGAATAGCAAAGCCCATTAGTCTGTCTCATCATTGAAAATGTTACCTACAGTCAGGCCAAATGAGCAGAGTGAAAGAAAAGGAAACTATGACAATTTTCGAACTTCCAGCTGATGATGCAGGATGAGACTGTAATAAAACTAATATTAACCTAGTTTTAAGTGCATAAACTTAATCTTTGATATTTATGTTCCATATGCGAATCAGTAATTCTAAAGTACTTATTATGAATAAAGTCCCGTCTGCACAAGGAGACATATCTTTAAACAAGTCTGCTTTGCAGACATGTCACCTGACAGCATTTCATTTACAGAGGAGACTTTGTATCTAAGTTGCTCTGAACTACTAAGCTAATTGGAGCACTCAAAGGACATGATGTGGTTTGTATCCAATAGGAGATCGACATCAGTCTGATAACAAGCATAATGATTTGTAAAGTTTTCAGTACCATTATTTTCCAGGGTTGAATTCTTTAAGCAAACTGCAAGTGATTAAGAGAAGAGAATAATACAGTACAAAGTCCGAAATCCAGACTCGTTGGGACTTTGGTGATTCCGGATTTGGGATTTTTCCGGATATTAGATCATCACTTTAAATTTAGTGAGATGGTATGTAGAAATCATAAAATTAAAAATGTGATATCGTGATTTATAATAATGAAGTATTAATGATCTAAAGGTATAAATACAAAAAAAAGTTAATATTTATGTTTACCTTATAAACATATCTTTCAATGTAAGTTGTTAAGTGCTTCGTTTTTTGTGCAATACTTCTCTTTACTCTGTAGCAGACTAACTCTTGTTGAGTTCATTGTCGAGTCTGTAACTGCGTTCGAGAATTCGGAATAATTGTCAATGAAATTTTTTTGTTTTCAGTAACTTCTCTGTCACTTTCTACTTCTTTTATATCATCTTCATTTATTACCGCTTCTCCACATTTCTTTACAAAATGCGTTAGTTGGAAAATTTCACCTTTGCTTACGATATCCGAAAACCTTTAAAATTACTGGCTATCTTCATGAAATTTAGCTATCCTTCACTATACATATTTGGCTATGCATCATGAGCTTGGTGACTAATGAAAAGTTGTTCTGTTAAATTTTATCTTGCTTCTATCACACACTGAGATAGTTAAGCCTGAATTGTATTAGTTATTTATAATACTTATGTCTATTTCTCGCACATGCATATCAGAGTTCTGAATAAATAAATTCTTACATATATTTAAGTCTTATTGAGGGCCGGCACTAGGTATCTTACTGCCTGATGCAGTGTCTGTGGGTCTTAAATTCTGCAACACGGTGCAGCCATACAAGAGTTGGCGCTGGTTCTGGGTTTTTGTGAATAACAAATCAGTTTTCTTAATTCAAATAGCCCTAAATGTAATCTTTTGGTCTATGAGTATCATCAACAAAATCTATTTTTAACATATGGAAAGAAATTTTTGTTAAATTTTTCTTCATGAACATTTTTTAGCGCATTTAACTTAAATCTGCAATCATCGCCAAGCGTTATGTCAACATAAAAGGTTACCATACTCCTTTATTATTAAATTACTAACATAAAAAAATTTTTAGGCATCACTATATGAGTCATTACTCAAGCTGTTGTGTGTTGATAAACATGCAGTAATAAAAGGAAAGTATAATAAATAATGATTCGCCAGGTTGGCGTCAGATCAACAATGTATCTATGTGAAATCCTTCGGTTTGAGATATGTGCGAAGTAGATACGCAGCAACGGAGCCAAATTACTGATCATACAAATTTATGCTAAAATGATTGTTTCTTCAATAACAAGGTATTTTATTTAGTGTCGAAATGAAATTAAGAATTGATACTCTCCAGATGTTTTATTATGCGCCGAGGGGGTGAATCAAATGTGCATGCATAAAGGCTACGAGAAAAACGTTGTTGGTGGTTTTGAGGTCTGGATTTTAGATCATTCCTGATTTCGGACTTTGTATTTAGGCCGTACAGAAATGAATGACACAAATGCTGCTACAAAGTGGAATACAATTTATTAACAAAAAACTGATAGTACATCAAGTAGAAATAATCCCCTCCCATATCAGTGCACTTCTGCCATCTGGCTGGGAAGTCCTGAAGGGCTTTGGTTCACCACTTGCATGCAATTTGGCAGAAGATTCAACATGTTGGTCCCTGACTACGTTCTTTATCTAGTCAAGCAAGGCGTAGTCTGAGGTCTTGGTTTAGTTTAGTTTAGTGACGGAGGACGCAAGCACCATCTCTCTACCATAGCGGTTAATTGGTATAGCACCACATCCCCCTTTATCTAAAGTAACTCAAGCTGAGGTCTTGGTTCGAGGTTCGAAGTCCACCCACATTGCACACACATTTGTCATCTCCAAATCACCATGCACAATCGCCAGCAATGTTCCTTGCGCAAGCCCTGTATCTTTCTGCATCTTGTTGAACGTTATGCGCCTGTTTGCAATGATCAAATCCAACACCGCTGCCACGTTTGCTGCGGGTCATCCCACGATGATACCTTTGGCTGCAGTCTCCACTATACTGCAGAACTTGGCCAACCAACGAAGTACAGTACGCCTTGAGGGTGCTCTGTTCTGGCACACCAACACCATGCGATGATGGATATCACTAATCTGTATCTGTTCCTTCCAAAGGAACCACGCTATCCAACACTGATAGGGATAATCACCTTCCATCATTGCTGTCCACGCTTTCAATGACGATAGCGAAAGGGATGGGTGCTGACTTATATCATTTGCTTGCAGCCAGCTCCTTCTATGTGTTTTGAGTAGCTCACACCCCCTTGTGTCTATTTCACTTGTTTTTCCGTGGCACAGTATAATAGTTTCATTGTGAGAGCCATTGTGTCAACCATTCTGTACAACCCATATAGTAGCAGCAGATTTCTGTATGTTCACGAATACCATGTGCAGGTTTTTTTTTTTTTTTTTTTTTTTTTTTTTGATAAGTTTAATCGGAAAAATCGAGGTGCGTGGCTTACGTGAAACAAAGCAATATAGCCCAGGTAAACACAAGTTGGTCAGCATAAATTATTTCTTTTTGAAGCTAAGGTATCCCCGAAAAATGTAACGTTAATTGAAGCTACTGTACTGTCAAATAATAAATTGCAGCCAAGGATTTGTAGATGATCTGTAGATGATTTTTTGATCCTCTACAAATTTTAGATTTTTAGTATTTTCACCAAACTTTTATTTTCTGAATGGGTTTTTACCAAACTTGGCTTCTTAGTCATAACAGCTGCAGCAGCACTGAGCTCAGCTGATAAAGAAAAAGGAATTCCAGTACACAACCAGTTCCAAGACTGAAAAAATAGGAAGATGTACCATGTTGTGATAAGTTATCTGCCTTTGTTAGATTGCTCGTAGATTTTAAAGGATCACTCTGGACTTTTAAATCCACATTTAGTGCAGTGATTGTTGCCGACTGAAGCTATTGTTTAACGAATAAAATTTTATATAACATATTTAGATTAGGAGTTTTTTCTTTCTGTTGTGGAATTAAATTCTGCTAACTTGATTCATTCCTTTCCATTCAAATGTTACTGGCCATGTGTTGCTACGTAATGAGATACATTCTGGTGACGTCATATGTCACGTGATGTAAGAACTGCTTATGTAAACAAACAAGCTTCAAGCTTGTGTTGTGATAGATGTGTTGAAAATTTGGAAACTTTTTTAAAATTTTTAATTAGTTATGAAATTTGCATTTCATCTTTAATTATTATTTCATCCATTAATTAACTGTCCATTCATTTGATTAGTATAATTTTGGTAACTCTTATATGTTAATGTTATCTTCATGATACTCTTTTGTTTGCTGCTTTACCATGTTTTGATTGTTAATATATATTTATGAATTCTTTCCTTGATCTGATACTTAATTCATTTATAAAAAATGTAAAAATGAATACATAAAATGTTTACATAGATTGCTCTTCTACACTGAAAAGAAAGTTACTTTCTTTCTTTTTCCTACACTGAAAGAAAGTTACTTACATTTTTAAGTCATAATTTTATCAGCTTAACAAGCAGAACAGTAAATATATAGTCGGTTTCTGAAAACCTAGTCGAATTTCCGGAGCACTGTAAATGCAGTTGGCCCTTAAATCATGTAAGGATAACAATGCCAATGTTCTGCGCAGTTCAAAATTAATATATAATTTTATACAACTTAAAATTTAATTTTTAGCAACTGACTATTATCCTATTGATAGTGTAAACTGCAAATTAACACATTTTGTGTACTATAATAAAAGTGTCAAAAAGAAAAATATAGAGATTTGTCCAACTGAGTTCACTTCAATACTAGCTGTGAAACTAATAATTTTTCATAATACATTTTTTCATTTTATAATAATAAATAATAAAAAAGTACTATTTGTATACATTTTAAGTACTCAATAAATTTGAAGTTATTTCTAATCTTGTAAGTTACATAATTTATGTGCAGAATCTTTTATTTTAAAATCATGTAGCTCAAAAAGATTTTCAAGTGTATTAAAAAGATCTACCATAGGAAATAGAC